AACCCATACACCAGGATGAACTGCCTCAACACCTTCTAGGAAGTTTCAAGCCTCACAGGTAAAACATTTTTGTTCCACTTTTATACTTAACAACAAAATGTAAAAATAAAGCTTAGATTGTATTTAAAAGTTAGCATGGGCTCAAAGAAAAGTCATTAAAAGAAATGCCATTAAAAAAGATGAAATTATAAATAAATGAAAAGACACGCACAGTCTGGTGGTGTTCTCCACATATCCATTCTCACGGCTCTCAAACACGTACCTGCTGCATCGTTGGATCAGGCTGGGAAGGGCTGGTGAAAGCACTGCCAGCTATTATTATTGGTTTTTGTATTTACCACATATAGATGCTGAATTCTGATGCCCCCACTCACAAGACGGAGTGGCAAACAGCCATGACAGCTGACAAAGTAGCAATCCGTTCTTGCTTTCTTGTATCTTATATGTGTATTATCACTTCATGTTCAATTCTCCCGCCAATTACACATTCCTAAAAAATTTTCCTTGAAAATATTTTTCAGCCAAAATGCCAGTACTTTCTATTGAGTAAAGGAATTCACTCGCCTATCTTACACATCTACTGCTATGTTGTTTTGTTTAAAAGAAAGTGGCTGTGGGGGGAAAGAAGCTGGAACAAGAAAGAGGCAGAGGACCACCAGCACAGGGCAAACAGCACGTGGCAGCATCCCTAGCAGGGCCCTTCCACAGAACAGAAGGAGCTCTACAAATTCCAGATAATCTCCAAAAAGAAAAATAACTCTAGTTCCCTTAGTCCTAGACTTTTCCGCAGGCCTCTATGAAGATGATATCACTGCTAAATAACAGTATTTACCTCATTAAAATGTATCTGTAATTATTTTTTAGTCTGCGATAAGCTGCCTATTTTTGCAAAATGGATCTGGAGTTGACAGATCTCTACTATTCTATCCCATGACCTGACTTAACACAAATACATCCCATTTAATTGTTAGTCCTCTTTCTGACCCACCCACCATAAGATAAGGGGTATAACAGAACAAGAGACAGAAACTAGAAGTCTGGTCAAAGTCAACATCTCTAGTTTCTGAGAAATCTAGCACAGTACACATGACTGATCTTCTTAACTGAGAGAAACAAAAATAAAAATAGAAGATTTGGGTCTTCTTTCCTTTCCTTTTTCTCCCTCCCTTCCTCTGTTCCTTCCTTTCTTTATTAAATATGTATTAATCCCCTACTAAGTGTCTCACACCCTGATTAGCAATGGATATAGTTTACCAGTACCTCTCTGGAGAGAAACAGAAAAGCTCCCGTTAGTAACTCTCTATTGTCTTAATGACAAGCCTCAACAAATATCTAGTACTCATGCATTCTATTCACTTGAACGTGTTGTTGTTGCTGTTCCTACTGACTCAAGACGGAAACAGAAGAATGGGAAAACAAGATCCCAGGATGGTTTGGGCATAAACCCATCATTGCCAATTATCAAACAAAGCAATCTGCCTCATTATGCCTCACTTTTCCTTGAGAACCTCAATCACTTGAACTCAAGGAAGGAAACACAAGATGCAATACAATAAAGACTACCACTGCAGAAATATAGCTAGCATCAGTGTGTAATCAAAATCAAGCTGACGAAAGGTGCTGCCATGCCTCAGTGTATAGTCCCCATGGCTTTTCACCAGAACTACTTGTTACAGCTACTTGATATCCCTTTTGCATAATGAACAGCAAAGTCAAAGAAGCAATCAGAAAAGTGTGACTTGCACAGACCTAAGGCATTGGTTAGCTGATCACGGTGCTCCTAGAAATAAAAAGAGAGGAAGCCTACCAGTAAATTTTTACTACATCTGCATAAGCAGAAAAGTTCTAGATTAAATGAACAAAACAGTGCCATGGGCCCTCAACCAATTCCCAAACTTGAGCCTAACCCCTTACATGAAGGGGAGGACGGGTCCCCTTCAGGTAGAACCCTGATACACTGCCAAAAAGGTATACTCTTAATCTTTCTCCCATCCTTCCCCAACAGGACCTAAGGTCATTTACCAGGGTAACTGGGCATTGTGCAAAAGGAAAATCATCAGACCTCTCAGGAACTACTGGACACTGGCTCTGAACTGACACTGAATCCAGGAGACCCAAAACATCACGGTGGCCTACCAGTCAAAGTACGGAGCTATGGAGGTCAGATGGTCAATGGAGCTTCGGCTCAGGTTCTCCTCACTCACAGGGGACCCAGTGGGTCCCAAACCCATCCTGTGCTTATTTCCCCAGTTCCAGAATGCATGACTAGAACACACATAATCAGCAACTAGCAGAATCCCCACACGGGCTCCCTGACCTGTAGAGTCAGGGCGATTACGGCAGGAAAGGCCGACTGGAAGCCACTAGAACGGCCACTACCTAGGAAAATGGTAAACCAAAAGGAATAAATACCACAATCCAGAAAGCACTGCAGAGTCAATACCACCAATAAGGACTGGAGAGAGAATCCAGTTCAACTAAGCTATCTGGCCTATGCAGAAGACAGACAGATCTTGGAGAACAACAGTGGATTATCAGAAGCTTAAGCAGCTGGGGAGTGTAATTGCTGCTGTAGCTACTGTGCTTCTATTGCTTGAGCAAATTCACGTAAATCCTGGCACCCGGTACGCAGCTGCCAAACTGGCAGATACTGTTCTTTCCACCCTGGCCAATAAGGACCACCAGAAGCAGTTTGCTTTCAGCTGGCAAGGCCAGCAATACACCTTCACGGTCCCCTCTCAGGGATACAGCAACTCTCCAGCCCTACCTCATCATTTAGTTTGTGGGGACCTTGATCAACTTTTCCTTCCACAAGATATCACTTTGGCCCATTCCACTGATGACATTATTCTGATGAACCTAGTGTGCAAGAAGTAGCAATACTGTAGCCTAATTGGAAGACAGTTGCATGTCAGAGGTGGAAAGCAAATCTGATGAAAAATCAGGAGTGTTCCACCTCAGTGAAATTTCTAGGGGCCGGTGGCATGGGACATATCTAGATTTCCCTTCAAAAGTGAAGGATAAGTTGTTACATCAGGCCCCGCTGGTCCAGGAATCATGAGGTAGAAGTGAAAGTGGCACCACTATTTCTCCTAGTGACCCTCTAGCAAAATTTTTGCTTCCTGTTCCTACCACCTTGTGCTCCTGCTAGCCTAGAGGTCTTAGTTCCAAGAGGAATGCTTCCATCAGGAGACACAACAATGATTCTACTGAGCTAGAAGTTAAGACTTACACCCAGCCATTTTACACTTCTCCTGCCTCTGAGTGAACAAGCAAAGAAGGGAGTTACTGTGATGGCTGTGGTGACTGAACTTGACCACCAACGGGGAAACTGGACCGAAACTGCCCTGTGCCAGAGTAGCACTGGACTGCTACTGCACAATGGAGGTAAGGAAGAATATGTGTGGCATACAGGAGATCCCGTAGGGTGACTCTTAGTATTACTGTGCCCTGTGATTAAGGCCAATGGAAAACTACAGCAACCCAATCCAGGCTGGACAGCCCAGAGCCTTCAAGAATGAAGGTTTGGGTCACTCTACACGTTAAAAACCAGGACCAACTGAGGTGTCTGCTGAAGTCAAAGGATATATGGAATGGATAATGAAGAAAGTTGTTAAAACTACCAGCTATAACCACATGACCGGTTACAGAAACTAGGACTTTAATTGTCATGAATATTTCTTCCTTTTTGTTATAAATGTATTTGTAATTATATGTAGATCAGAGGTTCCCACAACCCCCTTCCTGGGTTCAATTAATTTGCTAGAGCAGCTCAAAGAACTCAAAGAAACATTTTTACTTATTAGATTACTGATTTTTGTAAAAGGATATAACTCAGGAACAGCCAGATGGAGAGATGCACTGGGGAAGGTATGAGGAAAGGGGCCTGAAACTTACATACCCTCTCCAAGTACAACACTTTCCCAGAATATCCACTTGTTCACCAAGCCGGAAGCTCTCAGAAACCTATCCTTTTGGGTTGTTATGGAGGCATCACTGCACAGGTATGGTTGATTAAACCATAGGAAATTAGTGATTAACTCAATCTCTAGCCCCTCTCCCCTCCCTGGAGGTGGGGGAACTGAAAGTTCCAACCCTCTAATCACACCGGTTGGTTCCCTAGGCAACCAGCCCCCACCCTTGGGTTACCTAGGAGCTTTCCAAACGACTTTATTAACATAACAAAAGACACATTTATAGCTCTTCATCACTTAGGAAATTCCAAGGGTTTTAAAAGCTTGATGCCAAGAACTGGACGAAGATCAAATATATTTCTCTAATTATAAATCACAGTATCACAACAATCCACCATGCTTTAACTAAAATCATAACAATTCATCCATATTAAGAGAATGAAGAATGGAAAAAGACCCTGAATATCATGGGAGTTGACAAGGGTTGAAAGAAAAGAATTGTAAATTCTCATCTTCCATAGTGAGAAATTAATGGTTAATACCTAGAATGGAAAAATCAAAAAATGGCATTTCCATGAGATTATCTAAAGACCTGAAGCAAGTAACAGAATAATCAGCTAGAAAAAGTGAAAAGTGGTTGCCCCAATGAATGGGGATATTAGGTGGAAGCACACTTTTTCATAAAACCTTATAAAAAAAAATCTGGCTCTTTATATGTATGTATAACTTTGATAAAAATGAAAACTTTAAATAGAGAAAACAGGAAAAACTTTTAAACATCCTAAATATCCATCAGTATGAGAATGGATCCATTTACATAATAAAATACTCTAATATACTAAGATCTAAATGTATCATACTATATTGATATTGTAATCAAATGTTTCAAAAATGTTTTGACTGAGCAATGAAAATAGCAGATCCATATGTATATACCCATACTATTCATATGAAATTATTAAAACTAGAACATGATACTAAGTAAATATGTATTTATTTTGTTTATATATATAGAATAGAAAGGTGATAAAAAGAGAGGGAGTGAAAGCAAAAATCATCAATTGAATTTGCACAGATCAAATTCATGAACAGGACTGCTCATGGAGAAGGAAGGAAGGAGATATAACGAGAGAGAAAACAGGAGAATTTAAATTTTATCAATAATGTTTTCTTTCCATTTTTAAAAAAACTAAAGCACAAAATCAAATCAAAGCAATCAATTATAATTAAAATGTCTTACTTGAGCCAAAGATGACTTGACACTGAGCATCATAATACTGGCACATGCCATTGTAACAATAGGCTTTGTTATTCTGGCAAGGATATCCATTCTGAATAAAAACATCTGGCTGACAGAACTGAGAAGAACCATTGCAATATTCTGGAACATCACATTCATTGGTTTTTCCTCGGCATAAAGTACCTCCTGGAAGGAACTAGGGAAATAAAATTCAAATTAAACAGGAATATCAGGACAATCTCCACAAACTAATCAAATTTGAAGCCAGAGTATTTCTATCTATAAAAAGTTCTAACAACAACAAAAGATTAGATAACCAATAGAAATATGAACAAAGTCTGATAACAGGCAATAAAAGTCATGAAATACGAAAAATGAAAAAATATAACCTTATAACCAAAAGAAACGTAAATTAAAACTTTAAAAGCACTTTACACCTGGGGCACCCAGGTGGCTCAGTCAGTTAAGCATCTGCCTTCGGCTCAGGTCATGATCCCAGGGTTCTGGGATCGAGTTCCACATCGGACTCCCTGCTCAGGGGGGAGTCAGCTTCTCCCTCTCCCTCTGCCCCTCTCCCCCACACCTGCTCATGCTCACTCTCTCTCTCTCAAATAAATAAATAAAATCTTAGAGAAAAAAAGGCACTTTACGCCTACCAGACTAACTAGGATTATAACATTTGCTAGCAACCAATGTTGGCACAGCAAGCATTGATTACACTGCTGGTAGAAGTATAAACTGGCACATTTTTGGAAGGTATATAAAATGTGTGTCGAAATTTTTAACATGCATACTCTGTCCCAACAATTCCACTTACAAACAAAAATTAGAAGCAACCTAAATGGCCATAATTAGTGGACTCAATAAAGAAATTATGGCAGAGCCACACAAAACAGTACTATTTAACCATGTAGAAGTATATGAATAAAGTCTATGATATCTTATTGAAAAAACCAGGTAGTAAAAATAAGTGTTTCTGTGTTCACACACTTTTTTTTTTTTAAGATTTTATTTATTCATTTGACAGAGAGAGACACAGCGAGAGAGGGAACACAAGCAGGGGGAGTGGGAG